CTGACTGTGTGGGAGGTGAAGTGAAACATAAAAACGCTTCGTGGACTCTTGTTTAATTACGACTCCGATGCCTGCGGAAAGCACTTTTACATCAGTAACTAGGGGGAGCAGGCGAGCAGGGAAACCAAGTGCGATGGAATGATGGGTCTTGGGGTGATTGGTGACATAGAAACCCCATGCACCGTCGAGCCTGGCTTCATGTAGTTTCCACTGTTCAGTTTGAGAAGCAAAGCCTCCCAATTCTTGAACACCCAGTACATCCAAGCCTTCCAAATTCAGCTGATCCCAACAGGACTGTAGATCTTTCAAAGATTTTCCTTGCAGGTTCCAGCTAGCTCCGTGAAACATTGTTTGTCGTGGTTGTCAAGACTGCATTGTGTTGCCACCGTACTGCGAGTAACATTCCTGCAGCGTGTTGGCTGGTCTGTTTGTCGCAGCTGTGAAGGCAACTGAGCTGATGAACCATTCCATGTGGTTTCCTCTGTTGTCCGGTAGGAAGCAGTCCTCGGCAATAGGATCTTAGTATAGGATATAGGATATTGGGTTTAGGGTGGGTCTGGGGTCTGAGTTTAGGTGAGAGTGGAGCCGTGGGGACATGGATTCAGTGTGGAGAACAAATCCACCTCCTTCCAGCCTTCCCGAAGCCAATCACAAACCTTTGTGCCCCTGCCTGTGTTATCATGCTGTGGAGGGGGGGGTGACCCCGCATGAATGGATGGCTGCGTTTCGAAGTCCAGGTTTGTCTCCCCCCGGCACGCCGGTACCTAGCAACCGAAAACTCCCCATCATCCATGCTGAACGACATAGACTCCTGCACCAAGTTCAACTAGTTACCCAAACGATTGGGCCCTGACATTCCCCGTACCATCATACTACAGTGTGTCCAATATTCAGCGCTTTTTGATTCAATGGACTTGGTTTATGCCAGCACACATGACCATTGCTCGTCTATGAAACGAGAGAGCTTCGCATCTCTGAAAAATGGCTTGAACAGCACGTGTCTCGAACGTATGAGGTCTGACTTGAAAGTGCATCAAGTAGCCGGTGGACTGTCCCTAAAAGCCCTGCTCTGATTTTTCTGCTCCCTTTTTTCCCTACTAGAACCCGATAAAGCCAAAAACCCTAAACCCTGAACCCGAAACCCCTCTCTCTCTCTCGCTCTCTCTCTCTCTCTCTCTCTCTCTCTCTCTCCCTCCCAGGCATTCGAAACCCTAAACCCCTTTTGCATCAGGACTTGTGAAATCGCCTGAATACTAAACCCCTAAACCCCCCTCTCCCTCTCTCTCTCTCTCTCTCTCTCTCTCTCTCTCTCTCTCTCTCTCTCTCTCACAGGCACTCGAAGCGCCAGGCCTTTTCCAAGGGCAACATCTGTGCCACGGAACCCCTAAACCCTGAACACTCCATACATGGTGCTTCAGGCTTCCCAGAAATGGCTCCCGGAGGAAAGCTGCGGGGCAAGAAGCCGAGGCCCGTCTTCACGCGATTTTTGAAACCTGCTTCTTCGGGGGTTTAGAGTTTAGGGTTTAAGGTTTAGGGTTTAAGGTTTAGGGTTTAGGTCGAGGGTTGCAGGTGCAGGTTTGGGTCTGGGTTTAGGGTTTAGCATTTAAGGCTTCCTGTGGTTATGCCTACCAGCTTTTTCGGTTGTTTAAAATTTAAAGCTTCCCGGGTTCGGGGTTTAGAATTTTGCACCATTTTGGGTTTAGCGCTTAAAGCTTCGATGGCCTCCGCGCATCTAAAATATTTTGGGGCTTCTCCGGTTTAGACGGCTTCTTGGTTTAATTGGCTCTTACTACCCCAATAAGCCACCGAAATAATTAACAGGCAAAACTTTAATTTTCGATTCCTACTATAAGAACCCAAAAAGTCTGTACCAGATTGGCAGGGCTTAGGCTCCCATCATCACAAATCACCTCGTTTGATACAGGTACAGAATCTGCCTTATCCAAGATCTTCAATTTCATATGCAGCAGCAACGGCTGTTTCGCCGTTTGGGATTTTTCTGTTTGGTGCGACTGCTGGAGGCTTCGGGTGTAGACATCTTACATCCCCAAACCCCTAGCACCAAACGGAGCTAAGTTTAGGGTTTAGGGTATAGGGAGCTTATGGTGCTCCGGCTGGGTTGAGCTTCGGCCTGAAAAGGAACACCTCTGAACGCCGAAACAGTGCAAAGCACAAACTCAAGAACTCCAACCCTTCTAAGCCCTAGACCCGAAGCCTAGAGACTCGAATATACCTTAAAATATAGTAGGATCCCTAACATGATTTAAGGTATATTCATATTCCTTAATTAAGGGATATTGGAGTCTCTGGGAGCCCTGTCTCTTCCTGGAACCCGAAAGCATGAACTCGCACTGCCAGCAGAATTCAGAAGGCGAACACAGCCGCAACCATTCGCAGGGTGTAGGGTAGTTTGGTTGGTGCTTATGGTGAGTGTGTACCACACGGGTGGGCAGTAACCACAAGCCGCAAGCCGAACCTTTGCATCGACATCAACAGTTGGGCTACCAGGCACAACATCCTGGTATTTAAATAGCGAACACGAAGGCCGAATGGTGTTACAGACCAGTATGACTATACCGGCTACAGGCTGTCGAAGCTCGGGCACGGGAGAACTAGAGCTTTATGGCGTGCTTATGGGTTTGGGGCTTAGAGTTTGGGATAGGGCTTAGCGGATCTTATGATTAAGCCTTACTGTCTCTTCCTCATTCGCAAAAAGATTGAGGTGAACTGCCTCCTCGCTTGGCAAGGTCCACTGCGGTGGAGTAGCGCTTCAACTCGTGGGCCTCCCAATGCACAAGGCGGTTGTAGGAGCACCATGCGTCAAGCACTCTGAGTGCACGAAAAAGCGCTTGCTCGCTAGGACCGGACCATTGGAGGCACAAGCCAATGTCGCAAGCATGCCAGACGTGTGAATTTACTCGTTCAAGATTTTGGTATAACAAAATCGCAACAGTTACAGACTGCTGCCTCATGGCCCTAGAAGCCCTAGACCTGCTCCTAAAGCCCTTTTGCAGCAGGCCTCGTTGTCCAGCAGCCCGGTTACAGCAAAGAGCCCCTCTGTCCCCCGCTAGCCCTAAACCCTAAACCCAAACCCTGAACCGTTAACCCAAAGCCTAAACCATAAGCCCCATGTTCCCAAAGCCCGAAACCCTCAACCCAAGACGTCTGGTTCCTGCCTCGCCGCCGAAGGCCACCTCGGCCGCCGCGTGGCACAGGCTCTGCTGAACTGGGTTGTAGTTTTGGGGCTCTGAAAAATATTTATGAATAAGTACCTCTATAGAAACCATAAGGGAAATTAAAAAGTTTCCCAAATTGCCACCTACTGAATTGAATTATTCAAAAAGTCGAAGGATTCGAACCCCCCTCTGCAGCCCACGGCCCCTTCATTTCGAGCCCACGGCCCGTTAATCTGGGAAAGTTGCCGCAATTTCGGGGGTGCGCTAGCAAAGCTTAAGCCCAAAACACCGCAACTAGGAGGAACAGACCAGATATCGCAGAGGTCTTCATACCATGCCGGCGGCTTTCATAAAAAGCTAGCGGACTCTCTGGGTCTCTCCTGTTCTGGGATCCTCCTATTCTCCCCATACTCTACAGACCTCTATAGTCACACACGCACACTAGGCAACATTTTCTTCTGCCACCGAGAACAAAGAAAAAATCCTCGCATTTAGTATGGAGCATCAAGCACACAATCCTTGCATGTAGTGCGGAGCATCGACGCAAAATCACCGCATTTTGTATGTAGCATCAACAAAAAATAGCATCTAGTATCTAGTATGGAGCATCAGCAAAAATGCCCGCATATAGTGTGGAACATCGCATGGAGTATGGAGCACCTGCAAAAATACAAGTCATGTCATGCCTTTGGTTCCTTCGCGGTATTGTGGTGTTGGCACTCTGCCTCCCACTAAGCCGTTGATTTCGGAACCAGATCCTGGTCTGCAAAATGTTCGATGTGAAGAGTTTGTAAACATGCTATGAGCAAAGAAGCTGTCCTACAGAGAAGCCGTTTAACAGGCACTTACAGCACTTTCTGCACATGGAGCAGGTAGGTTCGAGACGTCTGGTCGTCTGTCAGAGCGAGGAACAGAGAGGGTGCGGATCTTGGGGCTGGGGGGAGATGACCATATGTATATATATATATATGTATGTATATCTTTTTATTTGTTGGTTTAAATCCATTTTCACCTATTTGTATGTATTTATGAAATTTATATTCATAATTTAGGCACAATCAAGAAATATGTTGGTAGTGTAGGCTTCTACCAGGCCCCCCATGTACTGCCGAGTGCTGGGTCTCGGGTTTAGGGTGTCGGGCTTTGGGCTGAGGGTCTGGGGTTTAGCGGACGAAAAGGGACTGGAGAAAGGCTTTAGCATCATGACCATTAACTGTTGACGCATGAGTATCACTACCACTACTCCATTGGCTTTAATTTTTGTTCTTTTTATTAGCCAATGATTGCTACTATATGCACAAAAGCCTCTAGGAGGCCGATAGAACTGAAAAGCCTCAAGGAGCTGTCTAACGGGTACAGGACGGTGTGAATCACAGTCACTGTCCCTCTTACATGGAGACTCCCATCCCGTCTTGGAAGCTGGAATACCACAGGGAACCAGGATGGCACAGGAACGCAGAATGGCGCAGGTATCGCGGCGAATGCAGCAACATCCTCACAAGGATGACCTGGCCCCGGCCTGGCTTCTAGTCACGCCTCCGCCCTAAGCGCAAAAGCGCAAAGATCCAGCCGAATCCTCACACACCAACTCCAACGTCGAAGCCCTCGCCCAAACCGTCCAGTCCAAATCCTGATAATCAGAACCCGGCGTCCCCGCCCTAAGAGCCCAAGACCCTACACAGATTCTCCAGATCCTGGAGGCTAAGCCTTTTTCGTCTCCGTTTGGAGTCGCACAGTTTCAGGGGGCATGTGCAGATCTGCAAGGCACTACACGGCCCACTTCTGACTCTGAGACACCTGAAAACCCTACTCCTCCCCTGCAGCTCACATGCTTACCATCTCCATCTTGTCATGCACTTGGTTGTCCTGCCTCTCCTCCTCCACAGCCTCTGAATCTGCAGAGTCTGGATTTCCGGCCGCCTGTTTGCCGATGAGTGTCCGCTGCTCGAAGACAAAAGCAATGTCACTTTGCGGATAGCGCTTGACAAAGACAGCCGCAAAGACCAGTGTCGTCATGGACAGAAAGCCGCCCATGCTTGTGAAGAGATCAAAAAACTGAGGAAAGACGCCTGGGTCTGCTCTTACAGGTCCCTTGAATGACTTAGTTGCCGAAAGTCACGAGTCCAAAAAGGTGCTAAAATCATGCCAATATGCACTCACTCAGCTACTAAAGATAATGAAAAATTTACGCTCATGCTGACGAACATGCTATACAAAGCTGAACGCTCTTTTCAGCAACGGCGGATCTCTGCTTATGCTTTATGGGTGGTTGTCAAGATTATGGCCGCTTTTTGGGTCCCTATTATAATACGGCACCTGATATGTAGGGTACCCAAAAAGGGCCATAATTGTGACAACCACCCATATGATACACAAAACTGTATGCTCTTTTCAGGAACCGCCCTGGTACCTCTGGTCAGGGTGACCAATAGGGGATCCTAAATGTAGCACCCTTATCATAAGGACCCCCCATCTGAGGTACCCCTAATTTTCGGAAAATCTAAAGCCCTTCTAGAGCGCTGCAAAGGTATCCTTATAGCAACCCTTTAAAGCAGCCCTAAGGTACCCCTAATTTTCGGAAACTCCCAGATACCTCTATAAACCCTAAACCCTAAAGCCCCAAAGCCACCTCTGGTCAGGGTGACCATGACCACCGGATCCTTGAAGAGGATGGTTGCGGCTACCGGCTTGCCGAGGCTCGGCGCCGAGCCGGTGAGCTGCCTCCTGAGCTACTAGTACCCTTAGAACCAGAAGAACAACAGGGTTTAGGGTTTAGGGTTTAGGACAACATTATTCTTTAATAGTCCCCTTAAGTTATATTATAAGAAAAATACAGCATAATTCCTAAGAGCAGTAAAGCCTCCAGGTGCAGGGCGCCTCCCCGCCAGACTCCCGGACAACTACCTCGGCTCTTCAGTCGCCTGCTGCGAAGGAGTAGATACATTCTTGGGTTAGTCATATTACGATGGAAAACCAGAAGAGAAAACATGGTAAAGGAGTGTACCACTGAGCCGCCCAGTTGCTGAAGTCGTCAGGATCTGACTAGCCTGGGAAGTGAACCCAGAACTCCAGCCATGCTTGGCCACGGAATACCTCACCATGGGATACTCATCGCTCCGGAGCTCGGTCACGTAGCGCCAGCCCGTCTCGGTGTTGAGCATCAGCCAGTCGATGGTGAAAGGCAGAGGACGCGTGCAAATGCTGGCCGTCGCGGGGATCGTGAGGTCTGCATTCAGGAGATCCACAACCACGCAGTTCAGCTCAAAGCCGGAAAATGGGATCGTTTGCCTCCTCACCTGCGAGACCAGCTGGGTGGACTTCGCACTTAGTGGCTGCTTCTCCAAAAGCCATAACAAGTCTTCGGCGCCTGTGTACGTCTCTGGGATTCCAATTCCAATGCTGTCAATTGCTCGCCCAGAGGTTGGTGGGTTCGGGTGTGCGCAGACTGCCCACTCACCAAAGTGCTTCAGGGTCTCCGTACTCACATCTACAGGTGGATCTTCGGCAGAGCTGATGATCTCTAAGCTTCGTTGGGCCAGATAGACAAGAACACAGCCGATCATGAAGAACTGAAGTGCGCAGGCACACCGCCTGTACTCCTTCACTACTCGTGTGTAGTCCATGGCGGAAGTCCGCAGGCCCGGAAGTCCGTAGGCCTATCGGAGTTGCACACTTTAGCGTTGGTTTGGGTCTTAGGGTTCAGAATCTTTTTTGAGCTCCTTTTCTCCAGTGCCTCGAAAGGTCTGAGAGGCCAGGACAGTCAGGACAGCTAGGCTCTTCTCGCCTCAGGCTTCAGAGTTTAGGGTCTAGAGTTCTTGGGGCGGGCTAACCTGAGCAAACCGCACGCTAGGCAGCTCTCGTGCTAACAGTTCACGTGCGCTTCCAGCTTTGCTGGACGACGGCTAGTGGAACGTCATTTACGCGGAACACTCGTGGGAAACATGCGGGCTTAGATTGCACTGATTCAACTTGCATGCTTGTCACATGGATCTGTTCTGGCTCGGGCCAAAATTCCTGGAACTGTCGAGAAAGCTTTAATGCATGCAATGGGTCAAGGTCGTTTCTTCAGAGGGAGTTTGTAGGATGACAAGGTTTAGGGTGGAAAGGTTTATCCTCCCTCCCGGGTCGGATAGTTGGAGCCTCAGACTAGACCAGCTAAGCTCCACAACTGACTTGAGGACCAGCTTGCAGCTGCAGCCCTGAGAATCTTTCCAAGGAATTGCGGAGTCTGTGAATGAGCTGGGTCGCAAAGAACAGCCGGAAATCCCGCAAAGAAAAGGACATCCAATGCTCATCAATCCAGGAACAGCCCTCTTGCCGAAATTCCAGCATGCACGTCCCCAACATGCGTGCCGAGTCACAACTGTCCGAATCGCATACAACACCTGGCTACCGACTGCGCTAGAGCAGTACGTAGGCACGAACATCGCAACAAAAGCGTCGGCTGGCCAACTACAGTAGCTCACAGCTCTCGAAGGGCTCCGAGGCTGGGATGGAGCTAGGTGGGGGAATCTCATATAAGATTCCTTTCACAAGGAAATCCTTAATCCTACCCGTATACTTTCATCCCACATTTGGTGGCCTTGAAGGAACTCTTTAAGGAACCCTCCCAGGAACCCTTTTAGGATCCCTTTAAGGCTCCATTTCAATGAGGATCATCCCACCTTTTGAGGTCTCTGACCTTTACACTGAAAAGGGACAGTCTGCGGCATCATGCCCTCTGGAAACTGTTTAGGGTTTAGGGTGCTTTGGGGGTTTAGTTTAGGGTTTACCCTAAACCGTTTAGGGTTTGTCTACCACGGCATCGTAAAGAGCATGTTTCTGCTTGCGGTGGAGTGTGCAAGAGTTCTAAGACTAACACTGATACTCATACAAACACTAGTACTGATACTAGTACTCCTACTACTACAACGACCAACACTAGTACTAAAGCGCAAACCTAACAGAAATACAGTACTTCTATGGGAGTTTCTGAAAATAGGGGACCCTAATATGGTACCCTAAATAATAGGATCCTCCCAAAATAAAGTCCCCCGAATGTTCGGAAACTCCCATATAGACTCAAGCAAGGCGGCACCTCGTCTGCCAACGCCGCGGCCTTCTCGTAGGGGCCCTGCACCTCACGCCTGCGAACTACCAAGGCGCAGCCGGGTCGTGACGCCCTCGACCCTGAACTCCAAGCAATACTTGTTGGTTCATGGGCTTCATGGGTAGTTATAAGTGGGCAGATAAGCCCCCTCATGATTTAGGTAAGTCTGGTTACCCTACTTATAATCCCAATTCCTATCCGTGTCGTCTGCCAGATGCGTCGCTGCTTCACCGGCTTAGGCTACAAAAGGCACGGCGAGGTACGACCCGCCGAGGCTGCGGCTTACAATGACCTCACATGGCGTTGAGTTGAGCCAGTAACCCCTTGATGAGAAGAGTACGTACCCGTCTTCCCAGTATTCTGTTCTACTAAGGAGACTCCAAAAAGTCGTGGATGCAACACCTGCTGCATCAAAGAGCAGTGTACTGACACGAAGTAGATAACTGAAAAACCCTAGGCTAAACCCATAAGCACAAGAGCTCCCTAAACGCATGCCAGACCTGTGACGCTAATGTTTTGGGTTTTGGGGCTTACCTAAACCCTTTTTCCACAGGCTTGATTAGTGCTCGCCCACCCTTTTTTTTGAACCCAGGCTCTGTGTTATCAGCTGGGCAGCAGGCATAATTCCTGCCTGCCCACCCTAAACCTCAATCTTTTAAGCCCTAAACCCCCACCAACCCTGAGCTCGAAAGGTTCCAGCCCCTTCTCTCCTGGCGTCCAAGACAGCACTGGACATGACGATGCCACCAACCGCCATGAGGGGTAGCGTGACCAACCTGAGTGGGACTGCTGATGGACAAAATCCTGCATGACCCTAGTAAGGACTCTAAACTATGGGAATAATGGTATATTCCTTATTCTGGGTGTAATGCAGGATTTTGTCCATCAACAGGATGGGCTCCTTTCGGTGTAAGGGTCTCAGGCTACTTGTAGGTTGCAGGGGCTACTCTTTGGGGGTTACTCCTAGGCTTATATACCTTACTTAGAGGATCATGGGACTTAGTAACTGTGGTTATAATTAAGGTAACTGTACTTAGAAAGACTTATAACCCCAATTAAGGTACTTATAACCATACTTCCTAAGTCCCATGATCCTCTAAGTAGGCTTATGTACCTTAAGGTTTGGGCTTTCGGTCCTACCCGGCGGCTCTCAACAAGCACTCCTTTTGGGATTTCTCCGAGGGTTTTGTGGATCTTAGAAAGCTTCTGCAAGGAACCGTCTAGTGGGGAACCTAAACCCCTCAACCCCTAAACCCCCAACCCCTAAACCCCTAAACCCCTAAATCCCTAAACCCCTAAACCCCCAAACCCCCTAACCCCTAACCCTCGACCCCTAAACCCCTAAACCCCTCAACCCTAACCCCTAAACCCTTGACCCCCCTAAACCCCTAAACCCCTCAACCCCTAACCCCTAAACCCAAAACCCTAAAACCCCTAAACCCTAGTTCCAAAGCTTTAGACTCTGCTTTTCCGGCTCGCAGGGCTGCACTTGCAGGTTCATGGGGCAGATATGATACGTCTAGGGTTATAAGGGGTTTAGGACTAGGATTCCTTTAAGGGTTCTATAGGGTTTAGGTTTTAGGGTAGGTCATATGTAGGGTTATAAGTAGAGTAGCTATGCTTATCGCCCATATTAGTGGACTTACGACCCCGCTTTAAACTTATAACTACCCATGAACCTCGTGGCATCGTGTTCGCGCTAATCATGCCTTCAGGTTGCAGGGGCTGCGGCTCTATTAGCCGCACCGTATAGAAGAACATCTCGCGATTGCAATCTCGCTATCCCGTGCCTCTGGCCTCTAGCTGCCAAGGAGCATCAGCAGTGCAATCTCCCATGACCTTCGTTCACCGTTGACTCTTTCAGTCAGCAGGCACTGAAACACATGCTGCACCGTTTCCCCGCACAAAATGCAAAGCCCTCCTCATCCTAGGCCTCTGAGACTCCCCTAAACCCTAAACCAATGCAAAGCCCTCATCCTCGGCCTCTGAGACTCTGAGGAGGGGGTTTCCCAAACCCCAAACCCTAAACTAAACCAATGCAAAGCCCTCCTCATCCTCGGCCTCTGAGACTCCCCTAAACCCTAAACCAATGCAAAGCCCTCATCCTAGGCCTCTGAGACTCTGAGGAGGGGACAGAAAGAAACCGATGCCCAGGCCGATGCAGACCCCGGCGAAGGCCATGACGCTGACGCCGAGTTTCGATCCGAAACCTCGGGTACTTAGAGGATCATGGGACTTACTGTTGATGATATAAATCCTGCATTACCTGAAGGACCCTAAACTATGGGAGTTATGGTATATTCCGTATTATGGGTCATGCAGGATTTATATCATCAACCGTAGTAAGTGTAGGGTTCCTTAAAGGGACTTATAGGGTTCCTTATAAAGGGGTCTATAGGGCTGAGGGAGTACTTAGAGGATCATGGGACTTAGTAAGTAGGTTATAATTGGGGTTATAAGTCCCCTAAGTGGGGTTATCCCATAAAGTTGGAAACCGAATTAAGGCCAAATAGGGCTGGGGTTCCCTAGACTTTTACTCTTAGGGATTGAGACAATTGGGTTTCCAACTTTTTGGCTTCGAGTGTAGGGTTTCGGCGCTCACACTCGGACAATCCAGGGCTTAGGGGTTTAAGGCTTGTGGGAAATCTTCAGTAAACCTGGTAGGGCTTGTAAGGTTTAGGGTTTAGGGCTTATGGGGTTTAGGATTTTTGGTTGAACGACCCTTTTCCGTCTCGCTGGGAGTCTGAAACCTCCACTGGGCGTTTGGATGAGCTCTCTTATAGGCTCATCTGAGCAAAGCCTGCGAGGCACTTGCACCGACATCACGACACCAAGACACCGTAGTCCATCACTCGTCAGCATGGTTTTGGGTTAAGGGTTTGGGGTCTCAGGGCGTATAAGGTTTATAGGCTTGAGGGTTTAGCGTTTACCCACAAATTGCCGAGAATCCTACACACCCCGGTTCGCCCTCGAATCATGTCATTTCGGCCTCGTCTTTGGCACTCCCGCGCTGAACCGGCATGAAACATTATGATTCAGCAGGTCAGGGAAACATACCGCACCAACATTCCGAGATGCCCTCGGCGAACGTCTCCAGATCCGCGCTCATCTCCCCTGTAAGTTGAGGACTTGTTGGCCGAGAGCTGTGTCTGCACTTCCGAGGCTTTGGGTGTAGGGTGTAGGAGACCCTGCCTGCAAGTCCGGCAACTGAGAACTATACCCCCCTTAGTAACATGTGTAATATTCTCTTGGATTTTATATGAGCAAAAATATAAGTTAATTCCTAAGGAGACTATAGAGGAATAGTGCTTCAACTTGTAAGAGAAACCCGAGCAACTGAATACCACTTAAATGGGCTTCCTCGCTCACACTCGGACCACCAAGGGGCGAGGCAAAGGGTTCGAGGTCCTGTTGAGTGAGACTAATGTAGGAACTATAAGGATTACTATAAGGGATCTATAAGGATTACAATAAGGGACCTATAAGGGTACTGTAAGGGGTTCTATAATGTAGGAACCTGATTAAGGAAACCTGGCCTTGCTTAGGGTTCCTTTAAAGGGGCCTATAAGGGTTACTGTAAGGGATCCATAAGGGTACTACAATAGTGTGGGAACCTGATTAAGAAAACCTGGGCCTTTATTGGGTTCCCTATATGAAACCTACTATTTTGGGCTTTTTAACACTCGCACTCGACGCATCAGGCGAGGTTTGGGGTGAACCTATTCCGCCTGTCAAGGAGCGATCCTACAGAGAACCCCCTGCCAACTCAGGTAGGGTTTAGGGGTTGAAGCACTACGTATTCTCAAGTAGCCGGTTTTGGAGACTGCAGAGACCCGCCTGGAAGCGCTCCGGGCGAGTGGGTGTCAAACCAGCCGACGTCCCGATGCAACATCGCGTCGAAATACCTCCAAAGCGTGAGGTTTAGATGTTTGGGGTTCCGGAGTGAGCCCAATGCCCTGCAATACAACCATATACCTTGCCGAAAATCATGCTCAGGATCAGATCAACTTATACCTCAGGGGAGCTCGAGCCCCATAACCTGAATCCTAAACCCTGAACCCCAAAGCGACATCGGGCTAATTGGCCGGGGCAAGTCTTTGAAGTGGGTCGGAGGCATCTCCACTTCAATCTGGCCTTAACCAATCTGTAACATAGGGGCCTTAATGACTATAATAGGGCTTTCGGATATATAATATATTGTACCATAAACATAATAAGGAACTCCCCAAATAGTATTGGCAATGTTTAAGCCCCTGTATTGGGCTCAAGCTGGGACTCCAAAATGTCCGGTCGACCCGCGAATGCGTTCAGAACGTTTCGGGTTTGGGGTTTAGGGTTTAGGGGTTTAGGGCTTAGGGACGTTTGACAGGGTTTTGGATATCGGCTTTGGGTTTGGAATGAGGCATACATTAGAAGCTGGCCCCACCCTGTAATAGTGACTATAAGGAATATTATTAGGGCCGTACTATATTCCTATTATACCACTATTACAGGGTGGGGGCAGCTTCTAAGACATACATGACTGTTCCGAAGAATGCCACAAGTTGTCATGTCTCAGAGGTGCACAGTCCATGTGTTGCAGCAGACCGGGGTCTTTACGACTAATATAGTTACCAAGTAAGTTAATTAGTTCGAAAGTTAGTTATTTAGTTAGTTACTTAGCTAGTTACTTAGGGCTTAGGGGTCATGACGAGGGATCTCGCACCAACTCTAATCACTGACTCCAGACACACAGAGGAGCCGTATCTTGCAACTGTCATCTACAGTGTCTACATGGTCACCCCGAAGGGTGCCGGAAACCTACAGGGTTATCCTGCAGAAGGGCTGCGAAGGCCTCGGGAAAAAACACTTGCTTCGGCCGAGATGCAGCGTTCGCATCTTCGCCAGCTGGCTGTCCACAAACCTTGCTACAAGCTTCTCACCTTCCGCACTGCACTTGCTGCACACAAGCTTAAACCCTTTTTCATAAACCCCAAACACTAAGCCCTTAACAACCCTAGCCACTGAACCCCAAACCCTAAACTTGTGAAGATGTCGCTGCTTGGAGGTTCATGGGTAGTTGTAAGTAGGGTTATAAATAGAGTATCTATACTTATAACCCCTATTAGGGGACTTATAACCCTACTTACGAAGTCCCATGATCCTCCAAGTGAACAGGTCGTCCTTATAATAAGGATCCTACTATTTAGGGTACTATATTGAGGCCCCCTATTCTCGGGCACCCCCATGTCGCTGAATAGGGCCCCAAAAAAGCACATAAGCAAAACTTAGGATAGGGATATCCCATATAAGCCCCCGTATAGTGAAGCCCATTAAGGTAGGGATATCCCTATAAAAAGTTTATGCTTATGTGCTTTTTTGGGGCCCCATGAACAGGTCCAAAAAGCCATGGAAACGCGAAGCCCTGGAGAGCAGCCGCGCCGCAGACACAGCATCCAATCCTCAGTTGGCCCATGTGCTGTGATACGGCTGATGGACAAAATCCTGCGTTACCCATTATAAGGAATATACCATAGTTCCCATGGTTTAGAGTCCTTGGGTTCATGCAGGATTTTGTCCATCAACAGTAACTATGTGGGTAGTTGTCAAAATTAGGGTCCCTTTTTGGGTACCCTAAATACCAGGTGCCTTATTATCATAGGGACCCAGAAAGTGACCATAATTTTGACAACCACCCATGTGCAATATACCATAAACTATACTCTAGATTCTATACTATACAAGTTTTAAAAAGTCATCTGCAACCTAGAGCTACATCTAGAAGTGTATATATATATATATATATATACATTTTTTTGGATACCAACATGATTATGCTGTATAAAGCCTATTCTCCGCGTCGGCCTCGCAGCTATCCCGCAAAACGTCATCATCCTGTGGAGCAACACAAACAGTGTGGAGCATTCACGGCCGAGGTGCACAACAAACTTCAGTGCAATTTCGCCAACCTGGAGCCATTGAAGGAGCGCTTGCAAAGGACCAGTTCGCTACGGCCACCCATCCCATCAAACCCTGTGTCTAAGCCAATCGTAGCTAGTTATAGTTGAGAAGACACGCATGGCCGACACTCCACGACAGAGCATGTCAGTGAAAGAGGCCATACATCGAGGCAGTTTAAGGTGCTCACGCTTTCCATCATCTGGTCGTTCGCAGCGGCATGCAAAGCCTGCGACAACTCAAAGCGGCAACTCTTCTACCAACGACTAGCTCTTCGGAGGGGTCCACCCCTAGCATCTGAAATCCAGGGTGCTGACTGCATCCTATTTCTGCCTGAAGCTGCTCCGTGGTGATGTTCGCGAAGGATTGGGCATCGAAGTCGGCGGAAACCGATGTGCCAAGCCCATCGATCAAGTCTCCCCACCTGGCAGTGAGCACTTGCGGATCTCTGAACCCTGCCGATCTAAGAAAGCTTAGGTTGCCTTATTGGGATCAATACCCCCAAACCCCATTTTATCTTCAAAGCCGCAGAGTTGAGACTTCGCGTTGAAGTCTAGGATACTCAGCAGGCCGGCAAGCCTGAATCTACTGAAAAGAATCCACTAAACCAGCGAACCCTCCACAGCTGAATAAACTCAAACCCCAAAATCCAGCCAAGTTGAAAGCCGAGCGGCATGAGAATCATCCTCGGATTTTGCAGGCACACCGGGTTGCTAGGCGTGACATGTCTCTCCCCGAAATCCGGCCAAAAACGCAAAGTTGTCTTAGAGATCTCAACTTCAACTTCAGGATATTTCAACCTGAAGGCTTCAAACTCACAACCCGGCAAGCCCAAAGCCCTCCAAGCCCTGACACCCTCAATCTGGGGGACCTTAGCCTACCAAAACCTGCTTTCCCGATGAATTCCTCATTAGGGTTCTCGTAAGAACCTACAAACATGTAGGATATGGTAGGTTATGGTATTCCTTAGATACGGTTGATGATATAAATCCTTCTGCACTAAAAGGTGGAATATACCATGATTCCCAAAGTCTAGGGTCAGTAGGGAAATGCAGGGATTATATGCTCATATATATGTATCATCATGATCAACCGCATTCCTTACGGATGCTATTATAAGAAGCAATGATGAATTCAGGGTCTGCTACTAGGGATCCCTCAAGGAGCTGAAGGAATACAAGCACGTAGATCCGGGCATTAGTTTTTGATAGGTGTAAGGTTTAGAGCTTGCCTACAGTCTCCATTTGTTTTTGGGTACACCAAATGTATATCAGAGGAGTCCACCCATAAAGTTTGCTAACCAAAAAAGAACTGAACTGCAATGGAGCCATGGCAATCGCAGGAGCCAGAGTTTCACTGGCAGCACCTGCCATCTTGCAAACGCCTAAACCCCAGAACCCTTCAATGCCCAAACCCCAGACCCTAGACCCAAAACCGTAAACCCCAAAAAACCGACGAAACCCTAAAAACCTTTTTTGGAGCAGGGGCCCCCAAACCCTAAACCCCAAAACCGCTAAACTCGAAGAGAACCCCAACTCTGAAGAACTCCGACAGAGGCACGCGGGTTGCCCGGCGCCGTGGGCGAACGCCCCGAGAAAGCCCAGAGCCTCGCTGCAATCAAGGAGTTTTGGGTTTAGGATTTTTAGGGTTTAGGGTTTAGGATTTAGGGTTTAGGGTTTGGGGTTTAGGATTTAAGGTTTCGTCGCCCGGGGCACACGTTCTTAGCAGAGGGAGAAGACAACCCTAAACCCCGAACCCTAAACCCTAACAGGGACAAAACGACAGGAAGTCTGGCGAGCTATTCCGTGCTTGCGCTTACGACTGCCGTAACCTACCTAATCCTACTCTTGTTGTAACAGTCCCTGTAAGGTTGATATTAGGGTTCATAGTAAGAACCTGCAAAAAGGTGGTTTAAGGTAGACTAGAGACTTCTTGGGATGTGACTGCCAATACACCATAGTAAAGACAAAGACGGATGCGTTGTTTGTACCAGGCCTCTGTCAAGGGTTGAGGGTTTAGGGGTTTAGGGTTCAGGGCCTGGTATGATACACAACCTGTAAATAAACCCCTGACCCTATCACCTCAAAACCTAGATATATTACATGCCGGAGCATTTAATCTAGCCCCCGTACTAGACCCCAAACGTCTGCAGCCCTAGACCTAAGCCTTCCAACCCAGATACAGTAGTACATGAACAAAGGACCAAAAAGGATGTACTCGTGCATGCGTGTGTGTGTGTGTGTGTGTGTGTGTGTGTGTGTGTGTGTGTGTGTGTGTGTGTGTGTGTGTGTGTGTGTGTGTGTGTGTGTGTGTGTGTGTGTGTGTGTGTGTGTGTGTGTGTGTGTGTGTGTGTGTGTGTGTGTGTGTGTGTGTGTGTGTGTGTGTGTGTGTGTGTGTGTGTGTGTGTGTGTGTGTGTGTGTGTGTGTGTGTGTGTGTGTGTGTGTGTGTGTGTGTGTGTGTGTGTGTGTGTGTGTGTGTAACACCTGTTTGCCAAGGTTTGCAGATTTGCATAGTTTGTGCAGGGGGGCAACCCCGTGAGCATAGCTGGTTGCCCAACGAAGAGGGCTATGCCACGGCTGATACTGGGTCTGATCAACCCAGCGTACCTGCCAGTGTTTCGCAAGTGTTATGGCTTGGGGCTAAGCCGAGAACCCCAATAAGTGTGTTTGATGTTACTGCCTAGTGGCTTAAAATCCTATACCTCTATGTTGAAAGACTGAGTTCCGACAATTACCATCAGTCCAGAGGGAGGATTGCACGAGTGTGCTCTAGACGGCTTTCGTCGATCGTGTCGTCTACGGTAGGGTAGCCTACTGCCCGGCCCTGATCGGCCCAGTCAAAATCACAGGACCCTGATCGGTCCAAGCCCTGATCGGCTTCTTGCTAAAACAAGACCTCTTGGTCTCTATTGATCGAAAATGCTCTACGGAGCAATCATACGCAGTTTAGGGCTTGATTGCCCAGTTGCAGACAGGACTGATGCCCTTTCGTTCTTACAACAGCCGTCAGTCTGATCAAGTAACTGTTCTCCCCTGGACAACTGACTTCGCCATGGCCTCCTGGTCATCATCATCATGGTCTAACAGCGACTCCAGCAACAGCTGGGACAACCGACAGCAATGGAATCGATGGAGCAAAGAAGACAAATGGGACTCCAAATACTCAGAGAAGTCGTGGGAATGTGTTGCCAGTCCCACGTATCAAACTTTTTCTTTGCCGTCTTCTTTTGTGTCTGATGACCAGCACTATGACAAGACCCCTTTGGGCAAAGGTGCTCATGTGCTGCATAAGTTGGTTCAACCCACAGAGTGGTCTCGCAAAGCGGGGCTGGCCGGCCGTGATGTCAGCGACATCCGTGCCTTTGAGCTTGCCCATCGAGGCCTTGGAGATTTCTCATTTCGATTGTTGTCGGAAGGACGGCACCAGAGTATCGTCGGGGCTCGAAGCGGCCAAGAATCGGTACTCATTACTGCATTGTTGAAGAAGCTTCGTGAAAGTGGTCTTTCTATCGATGAGGCAGCAAAAGCCTGCCATACTTCGGCTCCTCCAGACAAGCATAAGGAAGCAATGCGATTCATGGAACCGCTTGCTCAAGAACTTTTGAATTGTGTTTTGGCCAAAGCGCCTCCAACAAATCCGGATGCCTCCGAAGAACTTGCCAAAGCTAAAGCCAAATTGGCTGAGCATGGCATTGCTATGTCTCCTCTGAAAAGGAAGGCGACTGAAGATCCTGAGCCTGACTCAGGACGACGGGCAAAGCCTGCCATGCCCATTGCTGAGCCGGAATCCCAAATGGAAGCTGAACAGCTCCTTAAAGATCCGCAACGAAAGCTGGATACTCGTCCCAAAGGAGCCACAGATGACCATGTCACTGAATGGCTAGCCACTTACAAGAACAAGCCTGAGTTTAAAGGCAAGTATCAAATGTTGGTCAAGCATGTACAGACTGTCCAGAAGCTTCTCAAAACTGAAGCATCTAAAGACCAATTGGTTGCAGCTGCTAAAGAGTTTGGACTGGATCCAAAGTTGGCATCCAGGCTGTCCATCAAGAATTTGTCTACTGTGATTGCTGTTGCACAATTTCAAACTGCTTGACTAGCAGTTCAATGCCAACATCTTGCTGCTTCAAGCAAACAAGAGACCAAGCAGCAAATTTGTATGTTGGGAGAGGCTGTGACGTTCTTTTTGCACCACTGTCCGGGCTTCAACAAAGAGTCTGCACTGTGGGCCCAAGGCCTGCTTCATCTTCTGTTGCTTTTTTACTTTCAAGAAGGATCTCCGTCTTCGTATGCTGAGACCATTCGACAGAAGCTTCAGCAGTTCCGGGTGCACCCCGCCACTTACACGTGGCCGAGATTTCAATCACAAAATGCGGTGTATATGAAAACAGCAGTGGATTGGCGCCATTTTTCAAGCATTGAACATTACAGGCAGCCTTCCACATTCATGTACATAGGCTCCACCAGCCAATCTGTTTTTCGAAGAGAGTCCAACAGATTCTCAGTGGCCAGGAAGCTGGCAAACGGGGGCGAAGCTCAGGCCGAGCTAGCCATCCGATACTGGGTGTCCAATCAGTGTCTTGAGCAGTACACTTTGTTTCTCGTTTCTCCATGCTCAACTTACAAGGAAGCATGGGTAACGGAACACTGCTTAATTGGGATGTGGCAACCCAAGCTGAATCACCCGTACATCACCTCCTTTTTGAAAAGGAGTGCATTGGGCTTTAGACCCAACAAGAGAGTTCGACACAGTGTGTCTTCTAGGTTCGGGTTAAGACTGTGGAGAAAACTGAGAAAGAAGCTCCACAGACAACTTCAGCCCGTTCCTTTTCAACTCAAGAGAAGGTCGGCATGGGAGATACTATTCAATCTTACATGCTTCAGCCGTGCCCCCTTTGAAGAGGCAAAAAAGCTGCGAAGCGACCGATACCTTCCAGATGAGATTTACTCTTTGGTTCGCTTGAGCAACTGCCTGGAAGAGCCTGGCAAAAGTAAAGCCAGGAAGGTGCTCAAAAGTGTTTGCCAATTCCGAAACATGTCCTGGCCAATGGCAACACTGGGCTTGCAGCTGAAATTCACTGCATCCCCAAGCTTTGGGTCAGATGTCTCTAGATGGATCCGAAAGCTTGTATTGGCACACAAGCCGATCCTTATACCTTTTCACCTTCCAGTCTGCAAAGTCAGAGAGCAACCTCATCAGTCTCTCAAAGACTTCATGCACAATTTCAAAGACTGGGACCAATGGTTACAGAATCACTCTGTTGATGAAGCACCATGCCCTTGTACTTACTATGCCAAACTACTGCCGGAAAAGTGCCTCACTCGAGGCCATGTTGTAGCAGGCATAGAACAACTTGGCAGTCTTCACCGCTCCTTTGAAAAACTAGGGAGTGGTAGTGCATCTTCAGCCTTTTTTCCTTCCAAAAGAGAATTTTTCAATCACAACACCCGTCTGTTTGCATCTTGGCGGCGCAAGCACTGTCTTCCCAAGGGTGTTGATATAGCTTTTCAGCAATTTCTCGAGCAACAATGGAGCAAACACCTCGATCACCTGGGCCAAGAAAATCGGCTCACATGGAGAGATGTCTCTGCTGCTCGCGATTTACTGCACCGACAGTTCATTGTTCATTGCGAAGACCATGAGCCGAACCATCTTATGGTCTTTTGTCTCAAATTCTACCTCCAAGCTGCCATGAAGACCTGGCAGGATCCAGATGTTTTTGAGCCTGTGGAAGGCTCCCAAGAACTCTGGAACCATAGAGTTTTTCAACAGATTCCCGCCATACTGAAACGACGATATAGATGGGGAATCAATGCTTCCGGCACTTTGCCTGTTGGGTTCGTCTTTCTCAAACGCAAGAAAGAATTCTTGAAAGGGAGGACGATAATATCGTACTCCAACAGCTGTATCAAGAAGTTGTTGATCGCAGCTGCACAAGCGATTCTTTTGATGGTTCGCTTGGTCTGGCCTGAAGCAATGGGCCTAGCAACTACCCCCCAACTTTGGAAGAAGCTGCATCAGTTTCTCCGCCGCAACCCTTCCATGGTGCATCTCGCTGAAATCAATGATGATCTCGTGGGATTTTTCAACTCTGTGCCCAGACAGCAAATCTTGGATTTGCTGTCGATGCTTGTACAGATGTATCAAGATCAGGAGTACCCTCCACATATTACGGTTTCCCTAAAAAAGCAACCCAATTGTGAGTCTGCTTGGCCTGGTAAACCCATGGCAAAGGGAGCCAAACACATTAGGTTTCTTCATGTTTCGGACCTGACTGCGATTGTACAGACCTCGTTCCAAGCAGGAGTGTTTACCACTCTCGGCTTATTGTTCAGGCAACACCGGGGCACTTGTATAGGTAACCAAATCAGCCCGGTCCTCAGCAGTCTTCCGGTAATTCAGCGAGAATCTTGTTGGCAAAGAGAATGGCACCAGTTCCTGGAATCTGCGCGGTTCTTTGACAACCAAGCATCGGAACTGTTTGTCTGCAGATATGTTGACAATCGACTTGTAGTGTGCGATGAAAACTTTCTGTCGCACCAATGCATGAAAGATTTTCAACACCTCTCTTTTTACGGAGGAACTATCCAGCTGGAAGAAGTTACG